AAAAATATGCTCTTAAAACTACAAAATATATTGGGTTTATAAAATTGATTTACCTTCTCTATAATATCTTTATCTTCAATATTAGATTCATTTCTATATTCATCTAGATTATTGTCTTTACTTATACTAGTTTCAAATGCATTACTACAAGTCTCATTATTTGGTTCTAAAACTGTATTATTTGGTGTCGGTAATATAACAGGAATGTTGGCAATCTATAAATTAGTATAATTAAAATAAATACTAGCTTAATATATTACAACTGTGAACTGATGATAGAACTGTTATTTGTTTATAATTACCAGCTAATAAAAACATATTTTTATATTGAAATTTAAAAATTTGCTTACTGTAATTGTTGACTGCGTTTTTTTTGTAAACATTTGCTCTATATTATAACATTTCGATGATGTTTCAATCAATTTTTTTTTGTTTTTGTCACGTAAACGAGCAGCTCCACCTTTTCTCTTTTTTTCATTTTGTAAATTCATGATGACAGAATTGAAAAAAAATAAATATTCGATAACTAAATTTAATGTCAACACTAAACGTCTTTACGTAAATTACATTAACATGTGAGTATTATGGAAACTTCAATTAGAACCAATTTACGAATATAACCTTACATTTCATTTTCGAGCTATTTTAAGAATGTTTTTTCTGGTAATCAGTCGACGGACGTAGTTAGATAATATTATTATTGTTAAACGTATAACCGTCTGTAACGATATTATATAAATATAGAATTATTCTGAATTACAAGCATAATTATTGTATTCAGGAATAACCGCATACGCCGATACGTACTTATTATATTTTTATATAAACTTATATTTATACTATACTTTATTATACCGCATTTATATTTTATACGTAGATACCAACGGGCAACGATAAAAACATAATCTGAAAGTTGGAAATAGATTTGTTCAATGATAATGCATATTGCATAGACGCATAATGAAAGCTATAATCTAATAAAAAACTAAAAATAATCAATTTTATGCATTATTATGTATTTACCTACATAATATACATAATAGTATAATATTTTATTTTTATGATATATTTTAATTTGTACGCATATAGCCATGGGCCAGCGCCTGTGCGCCGTCGGCGTATTGTAAATTTTAATCTATGCCAATTAGACACAGAAAAAAATAGGGGAGCCAAAGTATACCCTGCTCCCCCCCAAATGGCGCCCCTGTCTGAAGGAAACAATTTTAATTGCATTTATGATTTCATTCGATTCAT